ACTACCTAAACAAAGAGCCTCCAGATGGTACCACACTCCCAATCCCAGGGACTTTCTAGGTTCAACTCCCATATTGATCAAAAGCTGAACATGACTTACACTCCAGGAGGGACACAGGCTCTTACAGAGCATTGGCTTAAGGACTGCAGCCTTTAACAGTGCTCCCCTGAAGTTCTACTTTACTGGATTAGGTCTTATTGGAAAGTGTGTGCATGGGGTCAGCCCTTTAAAAAGTGCATTTCAAAACTGCATGGTTTTCAATCGAAAAATAAGCACAGCATTACAGCACTCTGATTTTTGAGTGACAGCACAGCTCTGTGCTTCTGGCCTGCTGCACACATAGTTTCTGCTTCATGCGCACACCAGAGAGCCAGGCAGGACTTCTGCACACCATTGCAGAGTACTTTATGGACCCTCCATAAATTATTGATGAAACAGCTAGTTTTCCATGCATGCATGAGCAACACACCATATCTTTCCCTTTGGAGCTTAGGTGAGACTTGTTCATAATACACCTTTTGCTAAAAATGCAAAATGTGGGCATGCACAAAATATGGTTTCCAAAGGTTTTTAAGCCAAAAATCAAGTGGTCATCACTGAAATACTGAAATTGTTCTGCTAAATTTTAAATTTCAGCCTACTCCTTCTTCAGTATTAGAAGTGTCAAAAATCACCTCTCCCTTTTATACTATGAGAAAAAACCCATATTAATTCCCTTTCTCTCACGTGAAAACAGCAGCTTGCTTTTTTCCTTGAGTTTTGGGTTAATGTCGTATTTGGGGAATGTTAAATACCAATCCAAGAAATATAGGGTTCAAACACTATAAAGCTGCTGGAAAACAGAAAGCAAAAAGGAAATACCTAGGCAAGCATTTTTATTGTATCCAACATTCCATATGCTGTAAATACTTGATGAGTTTCAAATAAAAAAAAAATAAACTCATCTATTATCAATGTTATTTATCAAGTTGTAGGGAGGACAAGAAAGAGCTCCACAACAACCTGCATGGAGCAGTATATTATGCAGGGCAGTGAAGTGGCCAATCAATCCCTACAGAGCTGCTTTTCCCTGTGTCCTGCTGCAAGGCACATAACAGAAACCTTTATGAAAGGGTGTGGAGAGCAATGTAACAGGACTGGTTGTGGTCTTACAGGTTTCTTCCCTGCAAAGTAGGGACATCACATGAGGATGTGCTTGAGAATCAGCTTGAACCACGATCTCTTCCAGGGATGGGACAGCCCTTCCTTGCCCTTCTCTCAGGGGCTTTGGAGGAAACAGTCTGCTGGTCGAAGTCATTATTGTTTTAAATCTTGATGAAGCCTTTTTCCCAAGTTTTCCTGCTCACCCAAGGCAGTGCAGTAATGGAAGAAGGAACTGGAGCCTATTGACCTCATGCTGGATGAACAACTTGACTCTGACACTACAAACTCCTTTTAGAGGGGCATTGAGATGGAAGACAGTTTGAAATTCAGATTCTGGGCTGCACTTTCAGAGCAGAGGACTAGAAAAGAATAATTATGAAACCTGATTAAATATTATTCCATCTCAATGTATTTGTGCTATGAAAGGACCAGGCACACACTAGAGCTTAGGTCTACAAACTCTGTGAAATCAATAGGAAGTGAGGAGTCTTAAGTAGGAAACAGAAATGTCAATATTCTGTTGGACCTAGGCCATGGTTTGATAAGGTAAAATATAGTGCAAGATGGCACAAGACCCTTCCTCAAAGAGCTAACTATGAAGAATAAATTACTGAGAAGTGACAGGACTTCCCACTATCACAGTATTAACCTTACAGATCAGCAGGGCCAGAAGGAGTGTACAGAAGGCACCTTTGCTGTAGCAACAAAACAGAAAACTTCAAGGAAAAAGAATCCAAACATTTTCTCTGTAGGCAAATTAAAAGTGGATCCACAGGTTGCCATGGCTACAAAAGTCCATTTACTCTAGTAGTGTTTTCTAGCGGCTAAACAGAAGTTTAAGTGACTAAGGAGAAAACAGGGCTCTGGTAATACTGTTCCATTAGGTTTATATAATTAAATCTTTCAAGTGCAAACCACCACTGGTGACTGTTGTCTGAATTGTTCATAAAAACCCAGTGGACTGATGAAACCATTTTTAGAACCACCCGTCATATCTCTGTGTTTCTGCAATCGTTTGGGATCAAATGACTACTAGCATGTCACACATGGCAATTTTCACAATCCAGAACCCTCATTTTGGGTTACAGTAATCTAATTAGCAGTTTCCATGGTTGGTCTGAGGGGAACATGTGAAAAGCTCTGTCTTAGACCACGAGGCAAGCAAAAACCTTAGGCACCCCGCCCTATGTAGGAGCCTCCATAGTCCTATCTCGGAAAAGTGATCTTACCTTCCCATGCATGCAGAGAGTTTCTCTGCTTGTGGAACAGGTAGAAGAGTGATTTGTCTTTGTATAGACTAAGCTAAAAGAGCGGAAAGTTCCACCAACAAAAATTGAACGTGTGTGTATGGCAGGAGACTTCATCATTAAAATGTCATGTCGGATTGGTAGACGCAAGGGTCAGTCCTGCCCCTGTCTGTCAGTGCAGTAGTCTCCTCCCAGAGCTCTTGTCTCCAATATTCTCTTAAAAATAATGAACACTTCTAATGTTTGGCATGCCATTAGGAGGGAAAATCCTGGCAGTGTGCATCAGACAGCTGTGAATGGAACCAGGTTTTGGCGTAAAGTGTGCAAGGGTTGGGAGAAATTGCCTTCGCTGCAACAAGCAGATAGAGGTGGCTATGTGGGTTTCTCTGGTCACTGGACTGTTCTCATGAATACTTTTGCTGGGAGTCTATTGTGATAAATCTTTTTCTGTCCTGGGTTTCAGAGCACTCCTTCCACCTGCTGTGTTTTACAGAAAAAACCCAGCAAATTTAAAGAATCTGGATGCCAAGGTGAATTATACGTCACCTGGATGAACACCTCCATCCTTCCACAAGCTGGTCACTCATCATTACCAGCAAGAAAAGTTTTGCATATCCAGTCTTGACTTCCCATCAGGGTATTCTGAAGGCACGGGGTGGCAAGGATCAATTAAAATGATAGCTTGGCCTATAGAGTTGTGATTTCTGGTGACTAGTGAGATGAAACAAACCCAGTGCAATGCCAAATTGCCAGCTAAGTTGGCAGAGCTTGCAATAAAAAAAAGTGTATATAAACTGTATATAAAAAGTGTATATATTTGTATATAAACTTAGTAACATTTTAATATAATCAATAAGACACTTTTGAGATTTTTTCAAAGTAGAAATACAGCTTAAATCTCACCCCTCAAATTACACTGGGCTTTTCTATTTCCTTAAAGATGCAGAGGAGATGGATTCTTTTCTCTGTATTTGGCTGTATGCACTATATAGAACTTCAAAGCTTTAATGAAGTCATTACAATTTAAAAATACTTAAACAGAACACAGGATTGGTCTTTTAAATACCTACGGAGTCCAGCTTTTATAATTTTCCATGTTATGCTAGAGTCCTTCAGAACCATGAGGACATTAACCTTCCTTTTTTAAAGACAGAAACATTCAGTGTTATAAAACTTGTTAAATCTGTAGCACTACCTGATCTTCAGATCAACCTACACTGAAAGTTTGCATCAAAAAATGCAAATAATATGCTGGCCCCTGCCCCCCCCAGTTGCATACGATAGATCCACAGAATCCAATTACTGTTTATTTTGAAAGTGCTGCTGTGAAAGTGTGGGCTCGATAGCTGCTATCGCTGTTGGCAAGAAGGGAGGCCGGGACTGTCGCCTTAATGAGTATTTGTACAGTAACCAGCACAGCGGGATGCCCAATAGCAATAATAATAAACCTTGATCAGAGATTTCATACATTCTGGTAACATCAGACAGACTGTCCTGACTCCTGCACAACCGGGGGCCTCAGCTACTGTATGAAATCCTTAGATTACTCCAGAGATACTTCTGAATCATGTTTAACTAACCCAGCTAGGGCACGGGTGTTTTCACTTTCCTCATTTTACTTGTGCCACGATATTGCTTTTAGATCAGTGGTAATTTGGGAAGAATGGTTACTTCACACTGTACTCACTTCAGAAACCAACCTACATGCCACAGGCGCTCAGCCCCACAACCTGCAGAGAGCTGGATGGGCAGGAGTATGTGTGCCACTCCAGATCAGTGCAAAGCCTCCCCGGAGTCCAAGCCCGGTGGCAGGCCCAGCAGCCAGCGAGCATCTGGTGACAGGTGTCCCACAGTCCTGTGCTCCTGCACCTTCCCCACTTTCCTTCAGGGTCCGCCCCAGCGCGGGAGCTCTGTGCCCTATTTTGGGGCAGCGACATCAGGGCCCCGACTGCTTACGCTCTCGTGCATGAGGGGCTGTGTGGCCCCGGCCACGCCGTCGGGGCTCGGACCCACCAGGTCAATCCCTCAGCGCCTTTCTGCTCCCAGCCCTCCGCCCCCCTCAGGACAGCGGGAGCTACTGACGGGCCCGCAGGCACCGAGGCTAGCTCTCCTCTCTCTGCCCTGCGCGGCTGCAGCACCGCGGCGGCGGACAGCTCCGGCCGGGGCCGGGAGCGGGAGCGGGAGCAGGAGCAGGAGCAGGAGCGCACCCCCCTCCCGGCGGCGGGGCGCAGCGGCGGCCCCGCGGCAGCCGGCGCTGTGGTTTTAAATGGGCGGAGCGGCGACAGGCGGCGGGCCGGGCGGTGGGCGGCCCGCGCTGGCCCGCGGCGCCCTTATAACCCCACCTCCCGAGCGCGGAGTGCCGCGGCAATTGGCTGGATGTGGTACTTGGAGATGTTGAGCTGGCTCCTTCCCCCCATGTCCCTGCACACACACAGGGGCGGGTGGTGCGGGCGGGAGCGGGAGGCAGGGCTCAGCCCCGGCGGCGGCGGCGGGGCTTCCCCGACTCGCTGCCTGCCCGCCGCCGTGCCCGAGCCGCTCCTACTGCTGGGCTGCTGCCTGCGGCCGCAGGACCCGACCGAGCCGGGCCGAGGGGAGCGCGGGCGGCTGCTGGCGGCGGCCGAGATGATGGCGGAGGGCGGCGGCGGGCCGGCGCGCAGGAAGGCGCTGTCTCTGCTGGAGGCGGCCCGATCCCGCTACGAGAGCCTGCAGATCTCCGACGACGTCTTCGGGGAGTCGGGCCAAGATAGCAGCGGGAACCCCTTCTACAGCACCTCGGCCGACTCCCGCTCCGCCGCCTCTTCCCAGGACGAGGAGGACGACGAGGAGGACGAGGGGCGCCCGGGGGCGCCAAGCCCGCGGGGCAGGGCGGCCCGGCGCCGCTCTCCCCGGGCGGCGGCCACACCGGCGGAGCGGCGGCGGCAGCGGCAGGTCTGCGGCGGCAGCGCCGTCCCGGGCGGCCCCGGCCCTATGGAGGAGGAGGAGGAGGAAGCGGAGAAGGGGGGCTGGACCCGATCGCTACGAGACGTCCCACCCCCTCCCTTCAAGGATGGCAGCGGTACGAGGAGGGCAGGCTGCCGGGGCCGGGGGCGGCGAGCGTGGGCGGCCACTGAGGTGCCCGTGCGGGGTGCCCGGAGCGCGGCCCTCGCGTTCGGGTCGCGGCGCAGCCGTGGGACGGAAAGCCCCGTGGGCTCGGCTGCCGGCCTGGGCTGCTGTCCGGCCGCGGGGGCGGGAGACGGCAGGTGCCTCCTGCCCGGTCCCTTCCCGGGAGCGGCCCCCCCGTCCGGCCGCTGGTGCCCACGCGAGTGGGAGGGCGAGGAGAGGCCGCGTGTGCTTAGTCACAGCCATCCCCTCCCCGGTGGGGCTGTGGCCGTGCCCCAAGCCCGGCAGCGCCGGGTCCGCCGCGAGAAGAGACAGAATGGGGTGCCCAGGCCCCCGCTGTGTCTCTGCTCCGGTTCGCGGGTGGCTCCTCGTCCCCACTCTCGGGTGGGGAAAGCCGCTGGTCAGGGCGCTGCGGGTGACCTGCCCTGCGCTGTGCAGACGGGCTCTGGAAATGAGACTGGGATTCCCCCTGGTTGCAAGGTGTTCTCTGCAGCCGTCCCTGACCTTAACCCTTCTAGTGTGGCTTTTGGGCAGAGCAAATACCAAGAGAGTGGTGAAATGACACGGCGTGGCGTGCAGTAGCAGTGCACAGCACGGAGATCTCCGTGGACTGGCTGGTGTGGAGAGCTGCACCACTGGTTTGCCAGGAGAGCCATTATAACATATCTCTCTGCAGGCCTCGACAGCCAAGTTGACTGTGCAGTAGAGCAGCAAGGCATTGCAAAAAAGCGGTTAATGGCTATGAAGAGCTGGGATGTGAAATTCAGCATTTGCATCTGAGAATAGGATGTGATGATTGCTGTCAATTGAATCGACAGTTTGCCTGGCCTAAGGTTGCTTGTCTTTGCTTTTTTTCAGTAGTGTTTAATTCCCTCATTTTGCTGTTGAAAATAAATGCTGAGGAGTAGTGTGCTGAAATTTGTGCAATGGGGCAGGCAGAAACCTATCTGAGGAAGCAGCTTGGGATGAGGGAGGAAGGTGGAACTAGCACTGGAGCCCAGAGAAAGTTCAGTTGCGTTTCTGACAAATGTGCAGATAAAAGCTATCTACCTCTAGAAATAGGTAGACCCTGTAAAACGTTTAAAAATCACCGTTAGGTACCTCTGTAAAGAACTCCTAGGTTTTATTGAAGGTTCTTATTCATAAGCATATCTAAGATGAGGTTTTGGACCATAAGCTTCATGGTGTGATGCTATTTCAGCATCAATTTTCATTTAATTTCTCTGCCTTTGATGGCTTATTTCTTCATATCATTACTTTATAGTAATATCCTTTTTAACACAGAATTGGGATTACTGTTTTAATACTGGTTTGGAAAAGAATTGAGTTGGTGACCTGTTAATCTTGGAATTCATGTTTCCTTTGAAATAAAGGAGTCAGATTTATGGTTGACAGAAATAATATAGATGTTTTGTGAGGAAAGTGTATGTATATTGCTGTGAATATTTCCCCTGGTAATAATAGATGGAGAAGAGGTTGCTGCTGCCCTTTCATTCTGTTGATCGTGATGATAGATGCTGCTTGTTCTTCATAGCACGGTGATTTGGTTTGGCGGAAGTTCAGTTAGTGTCGTGATTTGATATATGTGAAACATGTACCCTTTGTGATATTTTTATTTTTGACTGCTCATATTTTAAGCTGTGGAAACTACTGCATTGCATATAACTGAGCTCTTGTAATTCTAGTTTGTAGATTGACTGCTTTAAACCATGCAGATATCATCACTGGAGTCATGCTAAACATACTTGTACTGGCACCCTTGTTGCTTCATTGGACACTGTTCTGACCCAAAAGTTTGGATTCATACATCCTGAGGAAAAGGTCTCCACTGAGGTGAAGACAGCTGTTCTTTGCAGTGACAGCATGTCTTTCAGTCCCTAATGGAGTACAAGCAAGAAATATGGGGTCAGACAGAGCACTGACAAGTCTGTATTCTCAGTTCAAATATGCTGGATGTAAAATGCTTTCTTTCTAGGTTCTGAGATTAAAAGGAAGAGGTTTACATGAGATTGAGATAAAAAATATCTTTGGTTAGCATCAAAATTTCAGAGTTTGGCCTTTTGGTCAAAATCTCAAGGTTTGCCTAGTAGCAAGTACTTGATATCATCTGACGCCAGAAGACAAATGTCTCATGAGACTTCAGCCCCATTGATGCTGGAAATAAATCCTTGAATCAGATTAGGATCAAAGCTACTGTCAACTTCTGGTTTGGGAGACTGCCCCTTCATGAAAGGGACGGTGTGGGGCAAGAAAAGATTTAAGTTAGTTAATGAGAATGAGCTAAAGCTCCCATGAGAAAAAATAAAGACCCACTTAGAAAACTCATGGTCTTTTTAACTACAAGTAGAAAACACTATAACTTCTTTTTTACCTTTTGAATAAATTACTTAATACTGCCTTTCCCTTCCAAGTCTCAGTGTTAAACTTATGTCTTTAAAAAGGATTGTATCCGTCCCTAGATTTAATCTTGAGCACAGACAGGCTAACTGATACTTCGTCCCAAAAATATACTAGAGACCCAGATGTGCTGGGGGCTGCTGGCAGTGTGTTAGATGGTTCAGTATGTCCTCAATCTGCAGTCAGTCACTGCGTGTATTCATGGTGACGCCTGCCTTCCTTGTGTGGCAGGTTCTGACAAACTGAGAAAGGTCTGACTTGACTTATGTGTGAGGAGATAAGTCACTGGCATTGCAATGCAACACAGTGCTGTTTGTGTCCCAGATTTTTGTTTTCTGCCCCTTCTTCAGGGATCTCCAGTTACTGTTGTTCCTGTTCCATTTAATAAAAATAGTGGGTACTTAGACTCCATGGGGGGAAAAAAAACCAAAACAAACCAGCATTAATAGCTGTAGCTGACTTCCTTTGTTGAAATCCAAAATAGCTGTTAACTTTAACACAGAGGTTAGAACAGATGGCTTGCTGGCACTTTGTGTTATTTCAAGTTAAGCTAGTCTGCGAAATCATTCTTTTAGTTGCTGAGAAAAATCCCAACCATATTGTGGTGCCCTGATTTTTAAACTGGTAACTTGTGGCACTGTGTAGTTCTAATTAAAACAGATTGAGGAACAATTGCCTGTCACAAATATTAAAGCAGTAATGTGAGTTCTGAAGTACTGGGATATCAGTAATGGATAGGAGATCTTGGAGGCAGTTGCTGAAATGCCTTTCCTTCACAAAGAGCTCCTGGCTACAGTAGGTTACTGTGTGTGTTTGAAAGGCTGATGGCATCCATGATCTAATGTTGGATCCAAGGTTATTGAGCTGGTTGTAGAGTGCAAAAGAATAAGAGAACAAACTGCTGCTAGGATAGGGAAAGCATAATTGAACTAGAGAGAGAGCGAGCAAGCAACAACTATTACAAGCTAGTATATGCCAGCAACTCAATGCAAACACTTCATTTCTGGTCGCTCCTGCCTCAGATTTAATTGGTGTGCTCTTCCTTCAGGAGTAGGGTGGCTGGGTGGCTCTGGGTGATGCTTTCCCTTGTTAGCTCAGTAATCTGACCAGGAACTGTTTGGTAATAGATAGAGGCAGTATTGGTTCTGGTCTCTGGTTGTGGAGGTCTTAAAAGGTGCAAATATCCTGGTATTGCTGCTCCTTGATTTTCCTGATTTGAGTTAGCTGGTGTTTTCTTCCTAGGATCCAATGGTTCCTATATCCATGTAGTTCAGCGACCAGAGAATTTGACCTCAGATGTAGGAGCACTTGTTTACTGTTAGGCCGTTATGTTATTGTTATGCTTTAAGGTGGCAACAATAGCAGGAAAGCCTAAGCTAAAGTTAATGTTGAAGTCCTCAAAGTTATGGGCAATTAGTGCTACTGTTTCCTTCATTTTCTATGCCCTCCAAACCCTATTCTTAAGCCTATACCCAAGGACAAAATGTTAAGAATGTTCCTTGTTCAAAGACCATAGCAGCTTCTCTTTGAGTTGCATTTAGAGAGTGAAAGTAGCTTTTATGGATTTCCAAAGTATTTCTCCGAAACATTAAATGTGCCGTAAGTTACCACCTTTGAAGAACATGCTCTGGTAGAACAGCATGCTCTCAGGAAGAGGTCACACAGACTATGTTTAGCAATCTTGCCATCTTGAAGAGGTTTAAGCAAATATTTAAAGTAGATTTTAGTTCAAGAGCATGGACAGGCAGATGGGAAGGCAGCATTCCAGCAGCAAGAAACCTGGAGGAAGAGCTCTTGGGTCAGGCTGGGCCATAAAAGAGGGACATATACATACTACCACCTAATAGTTGTGGTGAATTGGTTCAAGTCCAGCATAGAATCTGAAGGTTTTAGTCTTACTATATTGATGTCAATATCTAAAGATTCTAGAGGAAAAAAAAGTATGAAAGCTTCTTAGTCACTTATGGCAAATTCTGCTTCAGAAACATCTGGGCCAAATTCTCTGTCTGTAAGTGGATAAAGTGACATAGATGTGACTTGTTCTTGCTTAATTATGTCATCAGAGAACTTAGCTACTTTTGACTTGCATAACCATACTGGGAAAAAAGACATATCTGTATAATCTGTTCTTACATTCTAATTAGAAATTACTTATAATGACAGTATCACAACACTTCTAGGAGGATATGATAAATATGTCCCAAGGATGTACATTTCTACTTTGCAAAACCTTTATAGGATGACTTAAAGGCTTGAAGTTTTGCTAAATAAGTGAATTATGCAAAGGCTTAATATTTTCTATGTCTTACAAAACCTAGATGTGCCTTTCAGGAGGCTTTACTGACTTTAGAGCACATTTTCCTGCTACCGTCATGACTGAAGTGAACAAAGTACCTGTGACAGCCTTATTGATTCTAAAATGTAGTGCAACTTAGCTATCTGTGTTCCCTTCTTCCTTTTCCCCATACCTCTGCTATTAAACATGCATTTGGGGAATACCTGAGTGTGTAGATAAACTTCACAGAAAAAAACCCAAACCTGTTCTTCTCTGCTTTTATG